TTCGGTCCACACTCCTGCGTGCACGTCTGAGCTGGAGTTTCACATTCTGATAATTCTCCCAAATTACATTTTAGTGGAATTCCATAACTCCTTCTTCATAGTGGAACAAATGGATCTATTCCACCAATAAACGCGTGTAATTATGTTGTGAGGAGTGAAGGCCATATAGTCGGACCACGTGAGGCTCAATGAGAGACTTGTCAACTTGACCCCTGGGACTGGCTGAGGGGAGGGTGGGTGGGGGGGGGAGGAAGTGTTGAGGAAGAAGGCCTGTCCAGGAATGTGTTGGGAGGGGAGAGTTGTCAACTACCGAGCTCTGAAGCAGCCCTGCGTCTGCTTTTCGTGCCTCCGTTCAGACGTTAATCATCTTTCTTTGAGTCATTTGTGCACTTTAAACTATGCATTGTCTTAAGCAAGCTGGTTTTAAGACTCTAAGTCTTTAGTGGTGATGATACCTGCGTATGCATCTCTGGTGGCTCTGTAGGTGCACGCACAGTTGCATGTATAGGAGAAGAACAATGGGAATAAAAAGGTAAAAACTGACCACAGATGAGATCATCTTGCAAAGCCAACTGCAGTGCAAGCATTTACTTTCACAAATTATATCAATCTATCGACAGTTTTTGCTGACATAAAGCCTTTCAGTCCCTTCAAGAATCACAAACAAGAGCCATTTATTGTGGGATTTACAGCCTGAGAATTTGGAGGATTGTGTTAAATAAATATCACCAGAATCTGGGTTTCCATTTTTTTTATTTTTTTTTTATGGCCAAGGTGATGGCATAAACACGACAGTGGAGTTGTCCAGGATGCGAGTTGTATGCAAAACCTGAGACATTCCTTGGCTCGCGTTGTTTGGCACTTTGAAGTAGCAGCAGAAATGCAGGAAGCTCGTTACTTTCGCTCTTCCTTTCTAAACCGCCTCCGAGCACTTCTCCCTAGGAATTTTACAGGGACACACTGTAACTTTACTTCAGCTCAGTCGGGTCGGTCCAAAGGACGTCTCCAGCTGGCGAGGCCAGGTTTGTGTCTCTTGTGGCGTTAAACACGAGACATCTCCAGTCACACACCGCTCCATCACACAGATCCACTTCACAATGGAAAAAAAAAAGAGGGAGAAGGAATGAGTGTGTGTGTGCAGGAATGCGTGTTTGTGCGTGTGTGTGAGCAAGAGCCCCACTGTGTTCGACTGTAAAGGCCACGTCTGGCGATAAGGCAGCCCGCTGATGGTAGAGATAGTCGAGACGCCAGCTTAAATGTGGCTTGCTGGATTGAAGTTTTTTCCCTGTAATGATAGTTGTCTCAAACAACATAGAATCTACCATTTGTAGGCAGGGAGGGGTGTCTCGCTCTCTTTCTCTCTCTCACTTTTTCTCTGTTTTTTCCCCACCTTATTTGATTTAATTTCTACTCTTTTAGGATCTTTGGCAGGAAGTTGAATCAAAACAAAGCATTTTAAAGGCGACCGACGATGGTCAGTAGCTAAATTCTATTCTCCCTTCTCGTCCCTCTGTCCCCCTCACACTCCCTCCTCATCCCCGCCCGCCCCCTTCCCAACCCACCCACTTCTTTCAGCACAGTGGAAGAGTCTAATAACTGGAGGGGAATCTAATCCTTGGCACTGGATGAAAGACGAGGGTCTCCCTCCCTCCCTCTCTTTCTCACAGTCTCTTTCTCTCTCTTCATTTTTTCCTTGGATGCTGGTTATGCTTGGCAGGTTCTCGCTCCCTCTCGTTCCCCCGCTCCCTCTTTCAGTCTACCCAGTCTCTCTTTTCCTCTGTCTCTCTCTTTTTTACTCCTCTGCTTCCCGTCTTTTCCTGCACAGCTTTATTCCTCTCTTCTCTCCAGGTTACAGTTTGGAGGAGGAAGCCTCCACTGTTCAGACTGGAGTAAGAGAAAACAAAGCAGGAAGTTTGGAGGAAGTTAAAGTAGCTTTACAGCTATAGACATGTAAACAGCCAGCTTATTAGCGTGTTTGCTTCACATATGCAAGACCCAAAATATGTTCATAACCAGTTAAGCTTTTATGCATCATTTTGTCTGCTGAGGGAGCGTCACATCATATTTCCAACATTGTTACAGGAGGGAAAACGGAGAGATGCGGAAATGTGAGATAAAAGATGAGTGCTGGTGTCCTCGTTTGAAGTCCAGGTTTAACAATCTGTGAGCATCCGGCAGGAAACTGACTGTCTGACCTCTGAACTTTGATTGCCACTGCCTTTTACTTTGTTTGTGCAGTAAAGTTGCAGCTTGTTGTCGTGTATATTCCCACCTTTGTTCAACCCCTAAAGTTCAGTGGGCGTCTCGGTGAGATTGGCACTAAGAGACAGCGATTTTGAAATGAAATAACAAAGGCTACTTATCTAATTGGTAAACAGGGCTGTTAAATAGAGGTTGGCTTAAATGCTTGCAGGACTTTGTAATTGCTGCCAGCCCACGTACAGATGCGGGCATGCATGCACACCAACAAAGTCCCACAGACACACACACACACACACACACACACACACACAGCTTTTTGACTTCCTCCAGTTGAATATAAACATGCTGATAACCTCCAGCTTCAACCCCTCTTTAAAAATTCCATTGAAGAAGTCGGTTGCCCTCCTCCTCCTCCCTCCCTCCTTCATCGTTCTCACACAAGCTGGTTACACCTTTACTTGGATGATAGCCAGGCCGAGCGTGATGACACCGAGGACTCTGCCAGAAACATTAAACATGCCTCGCTGTCAAAATGCTGGTGGAAATTTTGATCTACTGTTTTGAACTTTACAGCAGGTCAGTCATTCTTAAATTTAATAAAGTCTGCACAAGCACACTTCAGGCGTGCATGAGACCATAAATAAAGAGAGCGGGAGGAGATCTACATTCTTATGAGTGCTCATGTCTTCTAGCTGCTGCCTCTTATGTTTCTATTTCCAATATACTATCCAGTTATGAATACTGAGGGTGTCTGAAACGTAAAAGAGCCAGCCTTTAAAACCATATTATTTGCCCCATCATTCATCATATGATTGAAATTAAAGTGCGCCGTGCCTTATGAAAGAAAACCTTAAAAGTTCCAGTTTGTTTTAAGTCTTCTTTGGGAATTAAGTTGATCGTGAGCTCATAAAGTCTCCCTGTGTTTCCCCAGACATGTTTGCGTTGCCTTATTACAGGGAAGAGCATGGCTTGTAAAAGTGTGTGTTTGTGTGTGCGTGAGCGAGCCACGAAGAGATAGAGTGGGAGAAAGAGAGCGATCCTAGCTAGCCGTGCAGCCCGCTCTCTTATTGGAGAGCTGTAAAAACTGCAGTCCGCAGGAGTTGCCAGCCTGGAATTCACTAATGACACACGTGGGCCTCAGATGAGAAGTGCAATTTTGTGTGTGTGTGTGTGTGTGTGTGTGTGTGTGTTACAGTCATACTGTTTGGATCAGAGGGCTCAATTTGTGTGCGTACGTGGGCATGTGTGAGGCCCTGTCTCATCATTTTCTCTGTGTGTTTGTGCTCGTGTGCAACCACTCACATCTCTTCTACATTTACCAACCCTTCTTCTCTGAAACCCCTGAAATGAAAATGGCCGGGGCATAAACACAAAAAACGTTGTCAGATCTCGGCCCTCGTTTCACTTTCTTCTTTTAAAGCAACCCGCTATTGGGAGAAAGGCTGCCGCCATTTTGGCCCCTGGTAAATGAAGTCGAGGGTTTTTTTCGCTGGAATATGAAAGGAATGGGGCCACAGGCACATGGGTCTTTAAATCTTCTGTGTCAATAGAGTCTCTGGAGCAAAATAATGGCATCACTCTGTGTGGGAGTTAATGTGAGCTGATAGCATGAGGGCTGGGGGGTCAAGGGTTCATGGGTTTGCGCTAGGTTGACAGAGAGCTGAATGCTTTCCACCCCAGACACCCCGCTCTAAAACCTCCTCTTTAACTCCAGGCCTGAAGGAGGCTTGCAGAGGGTGACGGTGAGGAGATGTCAGTGGAGTTAACAGTTTTAACCCCCTTTTCAAAATACCGCAGCCGGTGACTAACTAAAGGGAAGAGCATGGGTCCATGCAGCTGAATGGGTATAAAAATGATGTGAATCATTTACAGCATCGAGTATTGGGACATTTTGTTTATCATTTATCAGGGGAGGGAGACCGTGGTCAACACTCATGTCCATGTGTTCTTTTTTTTAATTGTTTTTAGATATTGTTACAAAAGAGGAAACAATCCAAGAGATGCATTTAGGACATCTAGAGAATGCTAATTTTACATGAAAGACAAACTAGAAACAAAATAACAGCATTCATCTGTCTTTGATCTTTCAATCGTATAAAAAACCTTGAGGCACCAGGAATTTGAGATGGTCCCCTCTATCATCACGGTCCTTCCTCTAGAGCTCAGTCAAAGCAAATAAATGTTCTATAGTACTGAGATGTGGTAACTTAGGTAAGCCCCTTTTAACCGTATGCTGTAACCATTCACGCCATTCAGCCATTGTGGGCTGCATTGACCCGAAGTGTGGTAACATTTCTCGGGAAGTTGCATCGTGAGTTACGATGTAGATTTCCAGAAGAAGTCCAATCTAATGACCTGTGGGTGCATTTTAACACATCAAACTGTGCTAAAATAAAGCCTTTCTCCACTTCCTAGAAATCAATTTCCTGCTTTCAAAACAGGTGTGTTTTCTGTGGCCATGTGAAACCTGCTGTAGTTGTGCTAGTCTGATATATTTTGAGTGAAAAGGTTGTACTTAAACAAGATTTTAACACACAAGGTTCACACAAATTGACGACCATCAACTTAAAAAAGTGAAGTAGATCGACTGATAGCTACTTCACTTTATTCCTTTTATTGATGAGTCAGAACAGATTTCAGGGATAGCAATATAAAGATCCATTTATGATGTTCTGATGTTGTTTACTTGTGCTCAGCAGCTAAATTGTCTTTTATATCATGTCACACTGGTGTAAAAATTAAATACACTTTACTGCTACGACCATTACCTCATCCACTTCCTTTCCTTTTCTCTTCAGACACTGGTACCTCCATCGGCTCGGTGACCTCTGGTGGACATCGCTCTCACTGGTGTAGTGTTGCTTACTGGGAGCAGCGCACACGCGTGGGTCGCCTTTATCCAGCCTACGAGCCCTCACTCAGCATCTTCTATGACCTACCTCAGGGCACTGGCCTCTGTCTTAGCCAACTCCAAGCCAACGCCTACCATAGCCGGCGTGATGACCCAGGCAGCCACAGCTTGTTAGGTCTTCACGGACATCACAGGCACGGAGGGAGCAGCAGCAGCAGTGTGCAGCAGATACGCAGTAAAATTGGTTTCGGCATCGTTCTGAGTCGCGAGCTGGACGGAGTTTGGGTGTACAATCGCAGCCAGCACCCGGTGTTTGTTCACTCGCCCACTCTGGACCCGCCCAGTGCTCGAGGACTAAACGTGAAGAGGGTGATGCCGGGCTTTTCTCTCAAGGTGTTCGATTATGAGTGCTCCAGCTGGATGGCAGAGCACAGCGTAAAGCCCGAGAGCCAGGAGGGGCCCTGGGACCCCCACAGTGTTCGCATCAGTTTTGCAAAAGGATGGGGCCCCTGCTACTCCAGACAGTTCATCACTTCCTGCCCCTGCTGGCTGGAGGTGCTGCTCAATAACCACAGATAGCACGCGCACACACGCTCATAGACTCACAGGAAGCGTCCTGATCCAGTATCCTAATTGTAATCTACCTAGATTTAATATAAAATTTATATATTATATAAAATATATTATACTTGTAAATACTTGAGTCATTTTTACAATGCAATTATTTATGTATAGTGTAATGTGTACATGAACAAAATAAAAAGGAACAAGAATATGCACTTTTGCCTCTATATATGCATTACAGATTCTCAGCGTCGTTTCGCAAACATAAATATGAAACTCTCATGATTTAGCAATTCCATTGAAAAGTATGCCACACACACATTGTCAATAAAGTCTTTGTATGAAGTGAATGTTTCCGTCATGTTCTTGAGTGCTTGTACCTGAGCTTTGGCTTGCTTGACTTGTATGCACATGCCGGTTTATAACATTGTCATTAATAGGATCCATTAAAGGTGAGTAACTCATTCCTGAGGAAGGTTGTTAATGTTTGAACTCAACAACCAAACAAGCACGCCTCTTCCTTCGGTGCAATAGACTTTACATAAAAGATGCACAGAGCCACTGAAACACCATCGAGTGGTAAGTAAAATTCTGTCTTGAAGCCTCTGAGCTTGTTAGTCATTGTCATTTCCATCGTGGTGTTTTGAATTGAGGTCTGATGAAGGAGCTGTGGACCTGACCTTCATACTGAGGACACGCCACACTCATACGGTGTGAACTGTTAACTACAAGGTAGCCCAACCTAATGCACACCCTGCTTTGGCATGAGGTCATTATTCCATAGACTTCAATACCATCAGACTTCTCTGTGGAGCCATGGTAGTCCTCCACCCCCTGTTGAATATTAGAAACAATTGGCATTTAAGAGACTTCCACATCAGCTTCTGTCTTCACGCTATGGTAAGTAACTCATCAAAAGGTCTTGCCCTCAAAACCACAGGTCTGCTTTCTGTATACATTTCAAGTGATGCTAAAAACTCAGCAAGCTAACAATGGAGAAACATTCCAGGTTTGTAGTTTCTTGTTTTCATGGAGGAAGCTGAACTATAACATACAATGTAATCATACTAATAATGTAAGTATGCACAAACACAATAGAGAAGTCCGCTGTGAAGAAAAAGGGGACTATTAATAAATTCATAAGCATACCAGATAAACCTTATATAAGTTTTAGTTTTTTGGAGGCAACGATTTTGCATATATTTTTTTTCAGTTCTGGGAACTAATTAGATTTTACAGTGGCAGATATTTCGTCTGTTTTTTTGTTTGTTTTTAACTAGAGCAGAACAGATAGTTCACTCTCCCAAAAAGCTGATTCTGGACCACTGATCAATTCAGTGATCTTTGATCAGTGTTGCTGATCAATGGTCATGAAAATTTTCATATTAATGATCAAGAAACTGATCTCACAGCACGTTGTTTGCCAGTGGGCTAGTTTCAGTCATTCTGTAAATGTACTGTTTATAGGATTGGGGAAACCTGCAGTCAGCTGAGACTGAAGAAGTCACTTGGATGAGTGACGAAACATTTCTCCCACTGAAAGCGTTACATCCAGATCAACTTTTGGGATTTCCTTACCTGGATGATTGAGCATGCATCAAGACAGATACATGCCCACTCCAATGATTGGTGATTTGTACTGTATGTCTGATCTTTTAGCTGCAGTGGTTTAAAACTCCATTCATTTGTCAGCAGATGTCATATTTTGTCCAGATTATAAATGTCTTGAAAACTTGACTTATCTTAGCATGGTGTGCAGTGTGTCCTTAAAAACTTACAGAAACTGGACAAGTGGAGGACAAAAGAACAAGTGGCCTAAAAAACAGCAGATGAACAGTAACTGTTGTGTCCAACCAGGGAAAAATCCAGCAAAAACTTGACACAGGACCTCATAGATACAAATGAATACAAATCTAAAATGACTGGTTCATTTCATCACCAATATGTACAAAGGAGGTCAGGAGAGAGGTACAACAGTGAGCGTCTACAGCCATCTGAAAAACACTGTGGAGGCTCTGTCATTTCAGCCAGTGGTATTGGGGATCCTTTGAAAGTTGATGGAATCATGAAGGGACCCCAAATGCACCGCCAATGCAGTAAAAGCAAACCTGGATAGAAAAACACACAGAGGAACACTATCAGTCATGGACTGGCCTCCCCAGAGCCTGGACCTCAAGATTATTGAAGCAGTGTGGGATCATCTTGACAGAGAACAGAACAAAAGGCAGAAACATCCAAAATATTATTAGTCCTTTATTTATCCAGGTAAAAAATCTCATTGAGATTAAAAATCTCATTTCCAAGAGAGACCTGGCATCATGGCATCAAAAGTCACATACCACATAGGTATATAACATTTAAAACAGATACAATATCCCATACCAACATGTGTAAAATATACAGTAACAGATCAAAGACGAGCTTTGAATGTCCTTCAAGAAACACGGAGAACTGTTCCTGAATAAATGTTACTTATACACTGTATTTCCAGTTATGTTGGCAAATGTTTCAATAAATTGCCCATTTTCCTTTAAAAATGTAAAGAAATGAGCAGTGGCTCAAGACTTTGGCAGAGCAATGTAAATACAGTTGCTTTGTGGTAGTATGGAAAATCCACCAAACCTTTATTCAAGTAACTCTAGGCTCTAGTTGCTGTAGATCTGAACCGACTCCATTTGCTAAAGAGATGGTAAATGATGTAAAAAGCTGGTGGATCAATGTACCTCGGCTCATTGTAACCATACTGAAATGCTTGTTTTGTTATGTCTCCATGCGTACATACAGTCCCATTACACATACGCAACATGTTCTTTAAAAATGTGTTCAGACTGTGTAAATCATATCCAAGTTTCAGCTATCTTCTCGCTTTGAAAGCACCAGCAGCAATGGAAAACAGTGAAAGGCGTCACAGTGCCAGTGGTAAGAAAATAAAGTGCATAACTGAGAGATTACACAACAAACCACAGCAGGGCACTCAGGCCCCAACCGACTCTGGTAGGCGAAAGTTTTGTGTTTATAGCGTAACGGCATCCTGTTTGAAACTTCCAACAACACAATTATTTATGGAAACTCATATCTGAGAAAAGGTCAAAGAGCTGGAGAAGTGAGATGAAAAAGTAACGTATACGTCAGAAGGGTGTTAAAAAACGATAACCTTTCCCGAGTTTCGGTCGAAGAAGCAGAAGCAGCAGCGGGACATCGCTCGGCTCAGGCAGTCAGGCATTTTTGTTTTGACCCTGAACCTCTTCAGGCTGCTTGCTGAAACCTGTAATTAACTTTAGCCTGAAAAGTAAAGAGGGGTTGATTACAAAGTTGCAACACTCCTGAGGGGGAAAAAAAAGAAGAAGCACCGCACCACTTAAAAACTTCTCCAGTGTTGGAAGTTTGAAATAGATATCTTAGCACAAAAACACAGTAACAGAATCTTAGTCTTAAACTTTTATTTGTTTAACTGAATAAAGGCTTTGTAAAAGTTTTGGGCATTCCCATACACCCCCTCCTAAAAAAATTCCAATGTATATTTCAGTCAAGGCTCCTCTCTGCTTTTCCAGGCAAAGTGTGGGATTTGTGGTTTGGATACAATGGAAGGATTCAGTGCAGGGGTTGGGGTGGGAGAGTTGCTGCTGGCAGGACAAGTCCAGAAACCTACCATGTTTCTCTCCCACCTCTTTTTTGGTTTTCCCATCTGAAAACAGCCAGGCACAGCCTCCTGTTCTAATTGTTTTCCTTTGTCCCGATTCAGAGTCATGAAGACAATGAAAGGATCCTATGCACAGTGAGCAGCGGAGGACGGTATTTTCTTTTTTCTTTTGGCCCTTGACTTTGGGGCTGCGGTGGCTGCTGACCTCACTGTGAACTGAAGGAAAACGAGCTAATTCTGCCCCTGGCTCTTGAGCTCCACCCCTTCACTGTATAATTATCCCTGTACGAATTATCATGTTATAATTATGTTAATGAATACATCAGGGATGTGTAATTAATGGAAGGCGTTCTCTGTTTTTGCTACAAACAAGATAAGTGACAAATGGATGCATATAAGTTTGAGCTCCTTAACTGCAAACACCGTCTACCTTTTAGCTTTGAGTCTCATGTAGGTAATGCTTCATTTTTTAAGGGTCACAAAAAAACATGTTTTAAACAGAAGTAGAAGCTCGCCTCACCACTCTTCAGCTATGTTGGTAACATCTCCAGGCACTTATTTGGGCATTTATTTTAAAGCCCTAAAGCGAGATCCACGGTCATCAGGACATAAAATATGCAGGTGCAGAATCATCAGAGAAATCTGATTAAAAAGATGCTCAAACATTTGTTGACTTTGTTCCAAAACCCAGCCAGTTATCCTCTTCTGCTTATCCATTGGGCAAGAGGCGGGACACGCAGTACCAGCCTATCACAGAGCAATAGACAGCTACTCAGGCTCAAACTCTCACCAACTGACCTAAGTCCCTAAGTGGGAGGAAGCCAGATTACCTATAGAAAAAACCCACACAAACATGGGTAGAACATATAAACTCCAGACAGATAGGCAGATTTAAACCCAGGGCTTTCCTGCTGTGGGGCAACAGTGCTAACGCCCATGCCACCATGCTGCCCTCATGCTGGACCTCTAAAAGCATTTGTTTTTTCCAGTCTATTATAGTTTGCTCGTGTGCAGAGTGCTACTCCATTCATGTTGCCAACATGACCAGTGCTCTTGCTTACTTCACCAGAACACCAAACAAATGCTGTGCTAAATTCACTTAATGGCACAGTGGATGCAATTAATCCAAGAAAAATGATACCTACTCTCACCTACCTCACCAGTGCAGTAATGCTCATCATCAAAACTACTAACCTGTGCAGTGCCAATGCAGCAGCATGACTGGGCTCACAGGCTTCCTGGCTCTATTATTGTAAAGGTGTTATTTTTTTCTTTTGGCACCAGGGTTGGGACTGCCGCGATCTTGCTATCTTGCTCAAGTGTCATGTTTCTTTCTTCTAATATCTCTGATATCGCTGTGAGTTATTCAATACTTGCAGCTTGTTAGAGCTCAGCGGTCCGTTGCTCTGAACTGTGAGTCAGTATCAGTTTTGTTGGTGTAATATTGAATGGTAACTATTTTAACAGCAGTTTAATCAAAAAGGTTAACAACACGATCTGATAATCTATCGCAGCACACTTTGATCTTATGTCAGCTGGACAAAGACAAAGAAGAGCAACATCCACAGTTTGTCTTAGTTTCTCTACATGATAAAGGAATGCTGATGTAGTAAATTTCTTTTTTAAACTGTATGAAGTAAATGTATAAAATTACAGAAATGTGTTGCTGTAAGACTTATAAGTCCAAAATGTATGTCCTACTTCACATTT